TATGAGTGTGTGTGTGTGCGTGTGTGTGTGTATGTGTGTGGGTGTGTGTGTGTGTGTATGTGTGTGTGTGTGTATGTGTGTTCGCGCATGTGTACACGTGTGTGTGTTTGTGGGTGTGTGTGGACCTCTGTGTGTGTGTGTGTGTGTGTTTGTGTGTGTGTGCGTGTTAGTCTGCGTCTGTGTCTGTGTCTGTGTCTCTTTGTGTCTGTGTGTGCATGCCTGTGTATGAAAGCGAGATTAAGTGGCACCGCATTGTATCGCGTGTTAGTGATCCGAAGTCGGGAACCAATACTACGATCTTCCTTTAAAAGGCTTACCTTGCATCTCCTAATATCATAGGTGTCGTCGTATCTGAAACATTTTCTTTTCTGCCGGCTATTTCTCGACCACCAGTTGATCTATTTTCTCTTTCTGTTAACGTTGATCTCTTTGAATTCATATGGATCGCATCGGACTTCTCGTGCATCTTTGAGTACGATATACATAACGCTATCAGCGCTAAGGCGATGAGCGCGCGCCGCATCGCCCTTGCGGAAAATGGCAGTGCCCCCATATTGTATGATGCACGTGCTGACTCTACTATAACTGATATAGTAGCAGAGTATACACTATGCCGTAGTAATATTCAGTTATAAATTTTGCCATACGTATGTGAAGAAAAAAATCAATATGTACGTCGATATGGTGCGTATGCACGATTCCGCCAAATATGATATTTGTGTAAATATCAAATTGTCGCATAGAATAGCTAGTCGATGGCTCCTCGCCGATCGATGCGTCGTCATGGTCACGATCATCTCTTAAGAATTATTGGTGAAAGATATCTTGCAGTTAAAATCGTCATCAATTCTGATTGCATTGTCCTTTTTCTAGTGGTTGTTCGCCTGATGACCTAATCGCCTGATGTAGTCTTGAGACCTCAATAATTTTAAAAAGTACGTATGTATTTATATCTCATATTATCTCAGTCTGTCTCTCTCTATCTCTGTCCCTCTCTCTCTCCCTCTCTCTGTCTCTCTCTCTCTCTCTCTCTCTCTCTCTCTCTCTCTCTCTCTCTCTCTCTCTCTCTCTCTCTCTACTCTCTCTCTCTCTCTCTCTCTCTCTCTCTCTCTCTCTCTCTCTCTCTCT